TCTTGGGTTAAGTTGTCAAGTTTGACTTGAGACTTAATGGTACAAATGAGACAAGTATGCAATGATATTCGATATCATAGTCTCATAAAAGATCTAAGAGTCATATTGGATATGATTGACATTAGATGTCTACCTAAATAGCATAAGGATAGGTGTAACAATTTGTTCTTGTGTGAAATACGGATCTTAGTCCCTCCTAAACCTATTAGAATTCTAATCTCATTAGGTTTCCTAGATGTAATAGAATTCTAATCTCATTAGGATTCCTATACATAATAGGATTCCTAATCCCATTAGGATTCCTATTCCAATTAGGAATCTCAATCCAATTAGGATTCCTAATCGGGATAATTCAGCACACGTACTTGTCCATCCCTGTTGTGTGTGACCCTGTAGGCTCATCCGGAATAGCAGTAAAACGCGGAATCTCCATTCCGGTAATACAAGTCATAGGCGGTCTCTAGCAAGACACTATGACTACCTATCTCGAATAGAGTTTTTTTTGTGATCATACGAAAGCCAGTGATGATTCCGACTGATGATCCTTTTGTATCGCGATATCATATGTCGAACATAAGGCATGGACAAGCCACCTTATCTGATTCGACTGCTTTCTCGTTCACTGAGTTTGACTGTCTGAAATAGACGACGTTCGTCTATAGTGCGGCCACACATTTCTACAGTCTTGCTCACACGAGGGGCCCAACGATATCTCTCTCTTTTACGAGAGGTACAAATCCCGTCTTGACTATCTACAATCCAGTACATGATTCGTTTCGTACCTGATACACACCTTTATAGTCCTCCTGTTACGCAGGACGTTTGACGTAATCAAAGCACGCAACTCCTCATGTTGGATTCTGTAGATATCTCAGGTCTTAGGATCCAATCATGGAATCGTCGTATGAGATTCAAGTCATGACGCTAGTCCATGTGACAATCTCATGCGGGTCAGTCCAGTATTCCGTTCTGCAACGAATACCTATGATTGTGATCGTATCCAATACCTATGATCATCTATGTGATGATCAATCACACATCATACTAGTCTTATTATGTCGTTATTCCCATAATGACACAAGACTAGGGAGTTTAGTATCATTCATAATGATACATGGATTTCATAACAGATCTAGCGTGCAGGAACATGTAATGAACAAGATACTCTCATAAAAAAACATATAGAAAGTATCAATACATCGAATGTATCTGAACAAAGCTCATAATCAGTACATCATAGAGCACTAAACCAACACAAGCAAAATCAATCAAAGAAGGGTTGTTTCTCAATCAATCCCAATATGCCTTCGACATCCTCCGCTGAGCAAATATGGAAGCCTGTAACCCGTGCCTCACTCCCCCTGACACAAAGTCCAAGTTTGCTACCAGAATCGGAAAACCAATTGAGGATCCAACACTCTATCGCAGTCTCGTTGGGGCTTACAGTATCTCACATTCACCAGACCCGATATCGTGTATGTTGTCCAACAAGTCTGCCTCTTCATGCTTGATCCTCGAGAGCCTCACTTCCTCGCACTCAAACGAATACTCTGGTATGTCCAAGGCATAGTTTCACATGGACTCCGACATCGCGTATAATACTATACCAATCACCGATGACGAGCCTTATTGCTTATTCCGACGCCGACTGGGCTGGCTGTCCAGACACACGGCGGTCTACCTCTAGGTGTTGTATCTTCTTGGGAGACAATATGGTCTCTTGGTCGTTGAAATGGCAACATACGGCATCACGTTCTAGCGCCGAAGCCGAGTACCGTGCTGTAGTCAATGCCGTTGCCAAATCTTGTTGGCTTCGCAATTTATTGCTCGAACTACATTGCCCACTAACGAGTTTGACGGTGGTCTTTTGTGATAATGTCAGCATGGTCTACATGTCCGCCAACCCGGTACAACACCAACGCACGAAACACATTGAGATATATATCCACTTCGTCCGTGAGAAGGTCCCACTAGGCCAGATTCGTGTTCTTCACGTTCCCTCATCCTCACAATATGCTGACATGTTCACCAAAGGCTTATCTTCTGCCCTATTTCTCGAGTTCCGATCCAGCCTGAGCGTCCGAGAACCTCCCGCTCCGACTGCGAGGGATAGCAGATATTATGGAATGATAGCTTATGCAATTATGTTTGTATTGCCTTAAATATGTTCCTTACCATAGTACTCTGATTATATATATAGTATCAATGTGAATGGAAACTTAAAGGAGAAATATATCAAATTACATTAAGTTTACTATTGCTCTTTTCTAATGGTAGGAATCCTTCCTACCCTTATTTTACCTGCGTACAGGGATATCTATCACTCTTGTAAACAATGTTTTTATTTTAATAGAATTAAAATCTTTATAAAAAAATTAAGATTTTGAGATATGATGGACGAACAATAATGGATACAATAGTATTATGTCAAATATTGTGTATCTGATTTATTTTCATTCTATCTATATTTTCTTTTTACTTCGTTTCTTAATTTTTCTATAAATATGTATTTCATTTTCATTATAATGTAACAAGAAGAGAAAGAGATGTAGTATTTGTTTTATTTGATTTCTGAATTTTATTTTTTAATTCGTACAATATTTCAACTTTGAGATAAATTATGAGACGACAATGTTATTCATGGGAGGTATGGAAAAGTCGTCGGCTACAAATATTAGTCAACAACTTGGGATACACTTGGGAACATTTCCTGTACTAAACTTCGGTTTTCCGCTCAGTCCATGAAAACTTACAAAACTTGACTACAAAGCCTCTATTGGAAAAAGGTTGAGAAGAACCTCAGTTGTTGAACAACCCAATTCCTATCATATGCTGCGAAGATTTGGCACCTCAATGGTACGCTTCTGTTACAAAGATCATCTGCCGGAGACAAATTGATTAGGAGGGGTTCGTCCATTGGATATAAGGTGCCGTAATTCGTCAATTTGATGAGTAATCACAAATCACCTCTTCTTTGACTGTGAGAATAGCTCTAGGGTATGCAAATATTTTGTTAGAAGGTGAATCAACCAACTGAATATGCCTCTTGATAGAGATTTGCTCATCAAGCTAATACTACAAATCCTTGATCCGAGAAGAGGATCGACGAAGAAGAGAGAAGAGTCAGCTATAGTTGTCACACACCTCACCACGGTCGCAAAAAATTACAACGAGAGTGCTAGAGTATAAAATAGAGCGCTAGAGTATATATAATCAATATCAACATCATCTTAATCCTAAATTTATTTGAGATGAACCCTATGAAGTCTTCGTTTTCACTAAATTAAATCTGTTAAGAGTTCGAAATTGAAAATATTAGAGTATTCAGTGTATTTTTCTTTAAATTTAATTTTTTTTCTATTTTTATAACATCTTAAATTTAACATATGATTCTTCCTAATTTAACATATGATTCTTCCTTGTATGAATAAATGGTTCGTTTTTAAATTAAGAATTAAGAGTTGCAGTATAATTCAATAAATTAAAATTTATGGTAGTGGGCCGTATCGGTTATTGAGCCATATGGGCTAAAAATTTTACTCTAATCTAATCCCAATAATTGTACGGTCCAATAAACCATATTTCAAACGGATAGATTTACGTCGCTTCGTGACACATTGACACCATCATTGACGTTGCACAAATATGCATTTTTTGATGATTAAATCTGTGAGTTAACTTTTAAGCAAAAATCTAATAAAAATACACAGTGTATGTCCAAAAAATAAATAAATTTTCAAATTTACAAATAAATAAAAGAAAGTTTTAATTAAATACGTTTAAAATGTAGAAATGCTTAAAATATGACAAGAAAGTGTAACGAAGTGCTACAGAATAATTTTCATTGTGATATATACAATATATTGGATCCGAATTGGAAATTACTCAAGTGTAATTGACCACTTGATCTTAACAACACTTCCATAATTCTGGATATTTAAACATTTCAATAAATCTTTACGCAGAATATATATATATATATATATATATATATATATATATATAATATGCTTGACAAGAAAGGATATGGTAGCTACGGGATCCGGAAAGTATCAAGAAATCTGATTTTTATCAAAAATGTTTTATATTAAGATCTGAAATTCAATCAAGATTTTAGGTTCGAAATTTGGATTTTCGAAAAAAAAATCGAATATGAGGGTACAAACAAAAACGTGATTTAATTTTTTAAATGTTTAATAAATTTAAAGACAATTTACAATTTTTTTTAAAATAAATTCGTAATTGTAAAATTTTCAGAAAAAAGAAATATGATTTCATATTTTTTAATTGATATAAATGATATTTATATAATTTTAACTATTCACATTTGATTTTAAATTTATATAATCCAAATCTGAATCTGATTTTCCCGCTCTATATCGATTTACAAATTAAAAGTCAAATTTAAAATAATGTAAATAATTATTTAGAAATTATAAAATCATGTAGTTTTCTGGGATCCAATTCTCAGAGGCGGCTTGACTACAAAATGTCAGAACAGTTCCGTCGACACGTAGGTTAATATATTTATACATATTAAACAAATAGCATATGGACCATTGGCGGCTTGAACCACTAGTCATTCATATCACGTGTCGAAGTAGATAAACCATGTATACAATGACAGATAAGATAAGATAAGATTATATGTATATATAAATACCCAATGAGGCACATTCCATTTTCACAAATCCAAAGTGATCGGCGACAGTAAAGTTGATAGCTATGGCGACCAAATCTCTTTCCATCTACGCGGTGTTCTTCGTTCTCTTCCTCGTGCTCCTTGGTAAGGAAAATCATTAATTTAATTTTGAATCGTGAAAATCTATATTGCAATCACAATATTTTGGCAAATCTATCAGCAACCGCAGCCTTCAAATGCTCGTGTATGGTGAATTTTTTTAAAATAAACGTTTTCGAAAGACTATTTTGGTAAGTAAAATAAATTTGAGTGGCGTTTTATATATAACATTTTAGGAGGTTTTATGGTTGGAGGCTTGAAATTGATGGTATTAATTTTTTTTATTGTATTTGAAAAAACGCGATATAAATTTATGAATATCCTAACTGAATCTAATATAAAATCTGAATAGAAATGATTTTTTCAAAAAACTAATATTAATCAAATATTAATAGATATATTATATTTTTTAGAATATTATGAAATATATCGTATCTTCAAGCCCATGTATCATAATATTTTATAATATTCTCCAAGTTAGATATGATTTTTTTCTAAAAACTAATATGAATCAAATGTTATGAGATATACTAGATTTTTTAGAATATTATGTTATATATCAGATCTTCGAAACCATATCTCATAATATTTCATAACATTTTTCAAGATCTCATATAACCAACATCTAACCGGGTATAATATAACAATGAAATCAAAATGTTAATTAGACCAAACCAAACACAAACCGAAAATTGATCAATGTCTACCCTACCAGCAACGTATTTAATTGATCACTTTGTGTTTGTGCTACAGTTCCAAGCATAGAAGCCGGAGACGAATGTTTGAAAGAATATGGTGGCGACGTTGGGCCCTCATTCTGTTTCCCAGAGATTTTCCCGAGCTTTTGTTACCAACGCTGCCGCAGTGACAAACTTGCGTTAGGCGGTAGATGCGTTTGGCGAGACGATGATAGCGTTATATGCTTATGCGACTACTGCAGTGATGAACCAAGCCTTGGGATTAAACCGAAAGCAAACGCTGCTTAGTAACAATTTACTATAACGCCGTCTGCGAGGCAGATAATAAGACTTCGATGTTCCGACAATAAATATGCAGTTTAGGAATATGACCTTGGCTGCCCTTTACTACGGTTTTATGTTTTAAATGTAACGTAACGCATGGTTTGTGCGATTTTGTGTTTCGTGTAACAAAAAAAAAATAATTAAGGCATGTACAATTTTTTTTGGGAAAATTTCAAAAAATAACTCTATACTTTTCTGGTAATTTAAATTATATACTTTTTTATCATATTAAACCTTCTATTTATAATGTCTAACAATAAAAAAACTATGTTTTAAAAAATCGACAAATAAACCCCTACACGCAAAATTAACTATTCAAATCTGACAAAAAAGATGATGTGCCAACATTTTTATTTTAATCATCCGCCACATCTATCATGTAAGATTAAATGATATTTAATAAAATAAATAATAAAAATATTAAAGAATATAATAGAACTATTAATAATAAAAAATAAAAAAATAATAAAACACATATATACATATATGTATATATGTACGTATGTATATTTATGTACATATCTCTGTATACATGTATATATATGCAGATGTATACAAATATATGTTGTATATACGTTTATGTATGTATGTTTATATATATATGTATATGTATACATATGTAGTTTTATTTCTTTATTTCGTTAATTTTTTTAGTATTATTATCATGATTTTTTATATTTTTATATTTATTTTTATTATTGAATATCATTAAATCCTATTAAATCCTATGTATCAGATGATATGTAAAAAGATTAGGATAAAAATGTTGAGTTGACTAGTCAACTTTCCGCCTAGGAGTTTCAGTTTTTAAAAAATATATATATTTTATTGTTAGATATTATAAATATAGAGTTTAATAGGATAAAAAAACTAGTTTAAATTGTGATAAGGTAAAAGTATAGAGTTTTTTTTTGGAAATTTTCTTTTTTTTTTCTTTCTAAAGTGATGATTTTAATATCCAAGTGAATTCCGGACTAACTAGGGTTCTCCCAGTTATGCAAAATTTTGGATTTGAAATTTATTCTGAATTCGTTCTTAAATTTGAGTAGTTGATTGATTTAAAATTGGACTCTATTGTAGATGTATTGCGTTCACATTTGAATTTTGAAAATTTTCAATTATATATATATATATATACGAATTAGGGGTCGATACGGTCGAGTATCCGGATCTAAACCCAAACCCGACGATTTATATATTTTAAAATTTGAACTTCAACACGAGCTTCTGGATACCCGAATCATATTACGCTCATAGATTTAATGATTGTTTTCTCATGATTTGGATATCCGCAAGACCCGAAAATATTAACTTGAAATTGATTCCGAATTTTGAATTGTAGGCCTGTTGGTCGTGTTATTTTATACATCACATACCGTTTATATTATTTTTTTCAATTTGATACTAAATCTTTTGAACTTAATAACTTTCAAAATACATAACCAAATAATTCAACTCTAATGGATAATTTTGATATCTACGAATATACATAAAAATGTGCAATTCTTATGACTGCTTAGAAAGTTATGAACGAAAAAATATTATTATATCAATATAACTTTAAAAACCGATATTAAGATAATCACTACAAACAAACGGTATGTTGGGGATAATAAGGGAAAATAACTTTGTAGATGAAAAAATTGATGAATGCAACAAATGAACACAAAGTTGTGGGGAGTCTCAAATAATGGGTCAAAACGTTTCAAAAGAGTATATTGATACGTGTGTACCGAATCTAGAATTTATAGCCTCATTCACAACTCACCGCAAGGATACGGATCGTCGTAATACGGGGTCGAACGCTAGGACCGGATGCTAAATCTAAATCCTAATCGAAACCAAATCAAAGCAAACAAGTGGAAGTGATGGTGGAAATATGTGGAATCAATGGTAACTAAGATAAAAAAAAAAGCAAATAAAAATGAATATAGCTATCAATCAACAATGACCATGGGTGTCGGGACCGTATTCGCGTGTATGCGTATTTACTAAACATGCGAGAATAACGATTATGACTTGTATTCGTGAATACACAAGCAACAAGAATAGAGAATTCACCGCTCGATCTACCAACTCACTACCTATAGAGTAACTCGTCAATTTCTCGATCTATTCAAGTTAAACCTAGATGTATGAAAAACACTATCATCAATTCTAAATTGATTAAACCATATCTCTATGTGAATAATATGATTCATTCATCGATTTCGATCCGAAACTAAGCCCATATCTCTATATGATTCAGAATCTAAGGCTATTGATGAAGTGATTAGCAAACACCAATAGAAAAGAAAGCACAAATCGATAAACCGAAACAAACATAATGTCAAAATCCAAGTTAGGGTTCAAACATAGTATTTTCCGGGATGTGTGCGAGTGAGGACAAAACACGCTAAAAGGTCTCGTGTTGGTGTGTGGGGACAACTTTGATATTCTGTAACGGTCTCAGATCGTTACGAATGGTATTAGAGCCTGGTTCTCTCCAGTACAATGTGGTTCGAGGACGAACAAGGCGGAAGGTGGTGGGCCTGTGACAGCCCAGGACACCGTAGGAGGGCGGGGAGTGGTCAACGGTGCGAGAGGCATGAACAAGGAGCGGCTCCTGACGAGTTTCTGGGTAGGGGGTACAGGGATGAATCGAACGCACCAGAATGAGAGGGATCTGAGGGTTGTGTAGGTATGGGACTACACAGTAATAGATAACTTAAAGAATTGATTGAGCTACTCATATAGCAACAAGATGCATCTACCTTTTCGGTTAATCAGCTCGAGAGAACTCCAAAGTTAAGCGTGCTTGCTTTGGAGTAGTCTTAGGATGGGTGACCTCCTGGGAAGTATTTTTCGGGATGTGTGCGAGTGAGGACAAAGCATGTTAAAAGGTCCCGGTTGGTGTGTGGGACATCTTTGATATTCAGCTCGAATCGTTACACAAACGAATACCTAACCTATAGTCATAGATCTACTCACGGTTCGTAGAAAACAATAGAAGAAGAGAGAAAAAGAGATGAAAGAAGGGATATAAAAGCTCATATCGATGTCTAGTCTTCACGATCAAATCCTTCTTCTTCTTTCTGAAATCCCCGTGAACTCCTATTCTTTTCTCACCAAAAGCATTCCAAAGTCTGTCTCTAAGTATTCTCCCTTGTTCTAGGATGTGCCTTGTGACAACCCAGATTTCAAAAAAAAAAAAGGACCGGACGGACCAATAAATCCGGACCAGACGGACCGAGGACCAGACCGTCCAGACCGGACAGACCAGGCAGTCTAGACCAGATGGACCAGACTGTCGGCAGTGATGTTGCGAGATTTTTCGTCCGAATCTGGCTGAAAGCGACCGATACCCACCAATCTTCGACAAAAATCCCGATTTTTCAACCCAAGGGACCTTGAGACGCAATTATACGGGTCTGGGTCCGGATTTTCGTCACAAATTGCCCAAAATCCGAGTTTTCCTTAATCATTCTCTCTCTCTCTAACTTTAACCCCGAAATTCTCTGCCAAATCCGAAGGATTCGCACCCAATTCGGCTTCAACAAACCAAGAGGAGCATCACCAAGCCTCCTATCTGTCACCCATAACAAGAGATTAACCCGAGGTGAGTGAATTCGAGTTTAATTCGGATGTCTATTGACATGAGATTTTGGGTTTTTGTGTGTTTCGTGCGAAATTGGTGCTTGATTTGTGTTAAACATGAGATCTTATGAGTTTTAATGTATTACCTATAGTGAATCGTGCATGTTTGAGTGTTTTTGATGAAATCCGAGAACTAGAACGTCCGGTCTGAGGTCAGACCATCTGGTCTAGGACTGCGGGAGAAAACGCGAAGTCCAAAGGTTGAAGACGAAGTCCAGACCGTCCGTTCTGGACAAGCCAGACCGTTGGGTCTGCACAAGCCAGAATGTCTGGTCTGAATTGATTAGACTGATCGGCCTGAACGAGAATCAGTCCGCAAAAAAAAAAAAGTAACGGAACGCTAAAAATAAACTAGGCGAGGGAGTGAAAAACTAGACTAATCGGGCCTAATATTACCCCGACTCAATATAGTGAAAAATGAAAAATAAACCGAAAATACGGGTCAGACCGGACCCCATGTAGTCTGAACCCAAAATGGATAACAGGTAAGCCTAAAAATCACGGAATGAACCGAACTGGTTATCCGGACGGACCAGGACCAAATAGGTCAAACCGGAGGTACAATTCGGTAATTTAACTGAAAAGACTCAAAAAAATATATAAATGAATAAAAGGAGAATTAAAAGACTAGCAAGCGTAAATGCATGTATAGTAAATAACCATATAAATGCGTGTGACTGGGATAGCTGGCATGGCGTTAACGTTAATTCGAAAGGGTTCGGATTAATGTTTAGTGTTGATTGTAGAAACGGACGTTTGTGAATGATTTCACGATGTTTGCGAGATTGCGTCCCATCCATGGGCCATCCGATCCGGGTCGGATGTCACCCATATGGGATATGATTGTGAATGTGGCGATGATATAATCGCGCCAACGTCCGAACGATAGGACGGTTATGGGCACCCCGCTGATTTGCGTGACGAAAAAAATACGGTTTTTGGTAACCGCGCAACATTTCCATTAGCGAAAGAGCGGATTCCGGGATATGATTATCCCGAGAATGAGGCATTACACATACCTGAGATTCGGGTAGATTGGGGTTCCCGAGGAGGTGGTACGAACTTACTTTTCCAGGTTCGGGCACGAACCTGAGAAGTATTTCCGCGGTGGATGGTCGGTGAGGGGGAGTTGCAGCGATTGGCTCTGCTGATGCGTCGCGAACTAGGTTCAGATTTATGTAGTTTTAATTTCTTAGACACGACTTGCGCAAGCATACGGGTCATCTATGGTACCTAGGGTCGAACTCTGGGGACTCGTCGAGAATCACCGGTGTAATAACCCGTAAATTCGACTTTCAAACCAAATTTTAGGAAAACATATATGAGCCATAAAAATGTCCATAAAATATTAAGTTAGACCCTAACCAAGTTGACCCGAAGGATTGGACCGAAACGAGCGAGAAAAACGGACGAAAACGGCCCAGAACGTCCGGTCTGACAAGCAGACCGTCCGTTCCAGACCAAGCGGAACGTCCGTTCCGCTTGTGCAGACCGTCCGTTCCGGCGGTCTTGGCCAGGTCACGCGCCGCCTCCCTTTCTGCTGAGTC